AGTCATGAACAATTTCTTTAGTATATCGCCATCCATGTATTTAAAAGCAATTCTGAAGTTAGAAAGCATAGCATAGGCTCCTTGCACAATATTCTTTATGTGGTCCTCAGGTGATAGTTTTCTATCTAGAACCACTCCTAGATCTCTTTCTTTATCAGAATTCTTTAAAGATTTCTCACATAATATATAGGTTGTGTGGGGTCTATGTTCTCCTATTCCACATTCCATAACATGACATTTATTAACATTAAATTCCATTTGCCAAGTGGTGCTCCATATACTTATTTTGTCCAGGTCTTCTTGAAGGGCATGACAGTCATCTAAATTTCTTATCCTTCCTATTATCTTAGCATCATCAGCAAACATGTTCATATAATTCTGTATACCAACTGGTAGATCATTTATGTACACAATAAACATCACTGGTGCAAGAACTGAACCCTGTGGTACTCCACTTGTGACATTTCTCCATTCTGATACATTGCCTCTGATTACTGCCCTCATTTTTCTATCAGTCAGAAAATTTTTCATCCATGATAGAAGCTTACCTGTCACCCCTCCAATATTTTCCAGTTTCCAGAACAACCTCTTATGTGGAACTCTGTCGAAAGCCTTTTTTTAGGTCCAGATAGATGCAGTCAACCCAACCATCTCTTTCCTGTAATATCTCTGTGGCTCGATCATAGAAACTGAGTAAATTCGATACACAGGATCTTCCAGATCGAAAACCATACTGTCTGTCTGATATTATATCATTTCTCTCTAGGTGTTCTACCCATTTAGTTTTGATTAGTTTTTCCAATACTTTCACTATTACACTTGTCAATGATACAGGTCTATAATTGAGGGGGTCTTCCCTGCTGCCACTTTTGTAGATTGGAACTATGTTAGCCTGTTTCCACCCGTCTGCTACGATTCCTGTACACAGGATGCCTGAAAGATCAGGTGAAGTGGAATGCTGAGCTCAGATGCACATTCTCTCAGAACCCATGGTGAAACGCCATCTGGGCCAGCTGCTTTGTTCTTACCGAGCTCCTTGAGCATTTTTTCCACTTCGTCTCTAGACACCTCTATGTGTTCTATGTTGTTCTCTGGAATTCTTATTGTATCTGGTTCCCTAAAGATTTCATTTTGTACAAACACACTTTGGAACTTTTCGTTTAGTGTTTCACACATTTCCTTTTCATCTTCCGTGAATCTATTTCCCATTTTCAACCTCTGAATATTATCCTTTACCTGCAATTTGTTGTTTATGAATTTATAGAATAGACCTGGTTCTGTTTTACATTTGTCCGCAATCCCTTTTTCAAAATTTCTTTCTGCCTCTCTCCTCACTGCCGTGTAGTTGTTTCTCGCATCTTTGTATCGCTGGTATGTTTGGGGGTTCGGCCTCTTCCTGTATTGATTCCATTTTTGTGTCTTTCGGTCTCTAGCCCTCTCGCAATTTCTATTGAACCAATCCTGTTTCCTAGTTCTGCATCTCTGTTTTGGTATAAATTTTTTTGTGCCTTTATCATATATTTCACAAAACTTGCCATACATCTCATTCACTTCCTTGCCTAGCATCAAGTCTGTCCAATTATACTCACTAAAAAAATTTCTAAGGTCACCATAATGTCCTCTCCTGAAGTCTGGTTTTTCAACTGCTTCAACCTCCTTATTTTCTTCCAGCTTATAACGCATTGCATACTTTATTCCCAAAAAGACATGGTCACTTTTACCCAAGGGAGGAAGGTACTGAATGTCAAATATCTCTTCCTCCTTCCTGGTAAATATCAAATCTAGCATGGAGGGAACGTCCCCTTCCCTCATCCTCGTAGCTTGTTTAACATGTTGATACAAGAATGTATCATGATACAAGAATGTGTGTGTGTGTGTGTGTGTGTGTGTGTGTGTGTGTGTGTGTGTGTGTGTGTGTGTGTGTGTGTGTGTGTGTGTGTGTGTGTGTGTGTGTTTTAAACGATTTGGCGGGTCGTATTCTGGGGAAAAATTAGAAAAAACTCTCTCTCTCCAGTTTACACATTGATATTATATCACATATATGATATTATATCGTTATTGGTATTATATCGGTATTCATATTATATCACAATAACGTGTTATATCACTTTATTGTGATTTCTGTGTGTATTGAAGTAGGGGAGTCAGAGGTAGAACTATTTGGTTGACAGAGCCAGAGTGCGCGGGGAGAATTGTGTGAAACCCCGGTTATGCTTCAGTGGAAGCCTCAGGATCCTCTTGGGGGCAGTTGGGGATCCTCCAAGTTGCAGCTCTTTTTAGCCATGTTGTGGTACAGTTGACTAGAGCGCGTCTGGGAACATCCAGCGCATAGGTTCGAACCCTTGTCAAGGCTCTTGTGGATTTTTTTATTTGATATATCACCTTATTGTAATTTCTGTGTGTATTATTATTATTGTTAGTTATTATTATTATTATTATTATTATTATTATTATTATTATTATTATAAACTATGGAACTTACTACCTGCCAAGCATTTCACCACCTCCCACGGGATGGGTATGGGGTGCATATTAAAGAAATTGAATTGCCCAAGCCGCACCTACCCAAAACAATGCTGAATTTCAAAATCCAGCTTGATTAAATCATAATAATAATTTATTGTGTCGGGGAACAGGAAGCCAGCGAATATTTATTTTTTTTATTTTGATTTATTTATTTATATTCAAGAAGGTACGTTGGGTTTGTGAGAGTACATAGCATTGTGTTTACATTCTTGTAAAGCCACTAGTACGCACAGCGTTTCGGGCAGGTTCAGGTATATTCATAGGCTATATTAGCCTATAGCCTATATTAGCCTATATTAGGCATAGGTATATTAGGCTTTTATGTAGAGACCCCGCCACCCCCCAGGGTCGAATTACTTACCCCGCCCAGGATGCAACTACACAACAAGCCCATTGTTGATGTGACGACTTATACTGAATTTTGTAACAAGCTCATCAAGATTGTAACTTGCTTAGCTAAATGAATTGTGGAGTTCAGTCCCTGAGCCCATTATGTGCCTCTGCAACCCTTGCCACTACCGCCCACAAGATGGGTATGGGGTGCATAATAAATGACCTACACTAACTACACAACAAGCTCACTAACTCCTGAGTACCTACTTACTGCTAGGTGAAAAGGGGCATTAAAAGGAAATATAAATAAAAAATATTACAATTTTTAAATATAAAAAGGGGTAAAAGGAAATATGCGCAACAATTCCTGTCCCGCCCGGGATTTGAACCAGGAAATCTCGATTGTGCGTCGAAAATGAACCCGATTGAACTACCGGGACTCATTGATGGGGGTCATACCCTTCATTATCATTAGGACAAATGGGGGGGTCTTTAACAAGCCGCCGGCTGATTGTCCTCGTCGAGGCCACTTGGCGCTTCTGGAGGTATTTGGCTGTTAAAGGATTTGGCGGGAAAAATTAGGATTAAGGGTTAATTGGTATATACAAGAGTTTTTACATTCTTGTAAAGCCACTATTACGCGTAGCGTTTCGGGCAAGGTCCTTAACCCTAATTTCCCCGGAATACGACCCCGCCGAATCGTTTAACAACCAGGTACCCATTCACTGCTGGGTGAACAGAGGCTACAGTTAAGGATTGGCGCCCGGTCAATCCTCCCCGGCCAGGATTCGAACCCAAGGCAAGGCGCTTGCGAAACGCCAGGCGAGTGTCTTACCACTGCGCCACGGAGACTGCTCATGGAAGCTAGCCCGAAACGCTATGTATGCTAGTGGCTGTACATTTTATGTTCTCTCCAGATTTTTAGAGTTAATTTTTTTGTATTGAGGCTGGTATTTTCTCCCCTGATTGTAGGGGAGTCAGAAGTAGAGTCCATGTATGACTAACCATCCTGTGAGATGGGAGTATTAGATGAACTTACAGCTAGTTTTTTTATCTATACTTACAGTAATCTGCCCGAAACGCTATGCTTGTTATTGGCTTTACTAGAATGTAAAAACATCAATGCTATTGTAGCGAGTAAACCTTATACTCGCTCCAGTCTCTCATTATCTTAATGGCATAACTAATTAGCACTAACTACACAAACTATAATCCTATCCCTATTTGCAGGTAAACTATAATCCTATCTTTATATGCAGAAAAACCACATGTGAAAAATAGAGAATGCTTAATGCGTTTTCGGCTAATTCACCTTCATCAGAGCAGAGTAGAGTGAATTCATTCTACTCTGCTTGTCTTCCAGCAACGTGAGGTTTAATTCCCGTAGTCTCTCCTCGTAGCTCAGACCCCTCAGTTCGGGTACTAGTCTAGTGGCAAAATGAACCCATTATGTGTCTCTGTAACCCTTTCCACCACCGCCCTCGGAATGGGTATGGGGTGGATAATAAAAATAAGAAATTAATTTTCATATACGGTTTATTTCATATACGCTTACATAATTTCATTTTTCTCTGTCGTACATCTTTCATATATATCATATATGAAAAATGTTTCATATTATATTGTTAATCCCTTTAATCTGAATGTTTTGTGACGTCATTAAGTTCTTGACGTCATACAGGTTACCTTCTCCAGCTAATGCACAGTAACTATATAGCCTTGTAGCTTCGGAAAAGTAATTAATCTTTAGTTCAGTAGCTTCATTAAACAAGATTATTTATACATTCCAATAAAATCTAAATAATAATATTATTTTTGAATTATGCATGAGCGAAAAAAATTCGGGGCCACACGGTTCAAAAAGGGCCAAAAGTTATGTAGATCGACGTCACCGCTTTTCTTTAAACATATCTTATTCTATCCCAACCTAACTTAACCTATTCTATTCTATTTTACCATAACATATTATAATATAAATTAACATAACGTTAGCGAAAAATCACTTTTTATGTTTAATATATATTGCGTGAAAGTTGTGTGACGTCACTTTGACGTCATCGGCTTGCCTCTGGTAATTTTTTTGGATCATCCTGTGCAAACAGTGTGTGTGTGTATGTGTGTGTGAGTGACCCCTAGTGGCTGACCGTCCCCATACTGGACCACAGTGGCTCTCTGTCCCATATTGGACCACACTGGACCGCTTTGGCCTGGTGACCAAGTAGTGGAAGGTGGCTGCTGCTGCTGAGTGTTATTAATAACGAGCAGCAGACAATTGAATCACCTTCTCTTGGTAATGAAATTATATATAATCCTTATAGTATAATATATTCTTAATATTTATATATTAATATATTCTTGAATGCCTGTTTTATAAGTGAATAAGCTAGTTGTTTTAAATATATGGTGTTAGACTATTTGTAATGGTCAATAGATTTGTTTATTTATTATGCACCCGATACCCATGGTGTGGAGGGTGGTAGATACAAGTGTTAACAACAGCAGTGAGGTACATAGCTTAGTGCTCAGCACATTGTACTGCTCATGAATGTGCTTTTATGCTTGTATTTTAATTTAGCTGGGAAAAATTACCAGGGTAAATGGGTGGGACTTTTGACAAGCCGCTGGCTTCCTCTTCTTGTTGAGGCCACTAGTATTAGTGTGGCTTTTGGGTAAATTCAGGTAGAGTAGAGTGCTCCCTTGAGCCTGTGCCCAAAGGGGTTACGGTTAACTCGTACGAAGGAATTTCGACGAAGCTTGTTTTCTAATTGTCAGAACCATGTAGTAATGTTAGTTTACTGTCTGTTAGCTTTGGTGATTTAGGGCTGGGCTAGGTGCGCTTCAGTGTCCCGTCCAATGGGAGTGGACAGAAATGGTTGGGCGTGTTGCCTATCACCTAATGGCACTGTTCACCTAGCAGTAAATAGGTTCCCAGGAGTTAGTCAGCTTTTTGTGAGGTTGCCTCCTGGAGAGGGTCAGTAGTTTTGATCGGCGGGGGGGGGGGATGGGGGGGACATCGATGTAAGTCCAACATGTATATATATACTCTGGCTGCCTGTACCTTGACACAATGAATTATTATTCACAAAACGTAGAGGTTTGTAAGGCTGTTCTAGGTTCATTTGTCATAGGATCTCGTAGTACAGTTGGCTTCATTCTTGACTTGCATTTGGGGATCCAAGCTTTGATTCCCAGACGGGACAGAAATGATTATGTGTGTTTCCTTTCACCTAATTCTTCTGTTCACCATGCAGTAAATAGGTACCTGGGAGTTAGGCAACGGGTTGAGGAGCGGCATCCTGAGGAAGGTTAGCAGTTCAATCTGGGAGCGGACCTCAGTAAAAGTCTAAAGTATAATCTGTATATACACAGGCTTCTTGGCTCTGACATTTATTTTTTCAACGAATCCTGTGAACTAAATAGAAATGTCTTTTTTGTTTTTCTTGTTATTGGGAACAGAAAGCACGTTAGGCTCATCAAGGTTCCGTTATCTAGGCCAGTGACCATTGCCTGGTTGCAACCCAAAACAGTTGCCTAATTCCTAGTTATTTATTTTGTGCTAGGTGAACAGAGCCATTACATAAAATGAAATGTGCCAAAGCATCTTCATCCTGCCATACTTATTGTCTCTAGTCACTAATGTGATGTCACAGGCTGTCTAGTTTTGGACCTTTTTAATTATTTATATATACAAGTGTTCTTATATTCTTGTAAAACCACTAGCACACGCAGCACTTTGGGCAGGTCCTTAATCTTAATTTTCCCTAAAATATGACCTGCCAAATCCTTTAACAACCAGGTACCCATTCCCTGCTGGGTGAACAAAGGCATCAGTTAAGGATTGGCGCCAAGTCAGTTCTTCCCCGGCCAGGATACAAACCCAAGAAAAATTGCGCATGAAGCACGGGACACGTGTGTTTCCACTGTGCCATGGGGATTGTGTAGCGCAGCCTCCGTGGCATGGCAATCCCTACAAACCCAACTCGAGATATGCAACACCTGGTTCAGCTTTGGATTGTGACAGATGTATGGCTGTTGCTACACCTGGGATTATCAGAAAATGGCACTTCTTTGTTCTCCATTTGCATGGTATAGTATTTTTTATTAGGCAAGTGAAGGGTAAAGTCATTGATATTCTGCCACAAATGTGGAAAAAATCCATAACTCCTGCTCCCACAAATGTTAATCTTCTTGTTTGATAAGCTGTTCACTTGAGACAGTTAAGCAAGTCCCAGCTGTGTCTGATTACAAGTGACAGGATGAACAACCCAGCGGGCTTTCTTCCTATTGGGGGAGTGTTGTACGTGCTGCTATGGCGGCACGTCCACTCACAGGATGAGTGGCGCTGCCCAATAAACTCGTCCCTCAGGGCAAAATTAAAAAAAAAATTCCTGCACCCATGCATAAAACAATATTATGAAATTGCCTGGGTCTTTGAATAATCTCCAGTAACATTAACAAATAAAATGTATCAAATACGAAACTGTTAAAAATACTGTAATGTTTGGGCTTCCACGATTCTGTGCATGCTTTGTATAAAAATCATAAGAAAATGATTTGTATGGTAAAATTAAAGGTGTAATAATTTATTTAAATTTTCTCTTGGTTTTTGGGTAGAGGTAATGCCCTTAAACTGGTAGGAATATCACAGATCAACACCTAGAAAGATGCATTATGGGGTAATTACTATGTCTGGGTACTGGCACCACAACCAGGCTGTTGTTTCTTTTCCAAGGCAACTTGTAGCGAGTACAAACACTGTATCCAAGACTACTAAATAAATATGAAAACCCACTAAACACTGTGTATCTAATCTACTCAACTTAACATAAAAGTACGTTACAAACTCATTACTATATTAGTATGTGGTCAAAGATATGTTCAACCATTTATATTAATAAAAGCTTAATAATTTTGGGGTAGACATAGTAGAGTTCTGATGCAACAAACGTTCTGTTCGTCATGGAAGTGTTCTATACAAATTGGACTCGTCTGAGTGATGCTACACTTATTTTTCAATATTTTTATTCATATATACAGTAGCTCTGGTTTTATCATGATTATACAGTATATACTGAAATCGGGTTTGTCAGCTGCATTGAATTCAGCGTCCTTCTAGAGGATTTTTTGGTGCAGGAGAAACAAAATTCTTGCATCAAAATGTTAGATACATAGTATACAGTACCTGAATTTACCCAAGGGACATAAAAATAGTTATTTATCATGATTTTGGCACTTAATAAATATATTAACCTATTGTATAAACTGCTTACTGTATTTTGCTTGCAAAAAAAAAAAAAATAATCTGGGAAAACTATTGAGAAAAAAAAAGATTTAATGTACAGTACACTGTACAGATAATTTGTACTGAAAATCCAATATACTGTACTGTAATTATATTTTGCATAATTTTACAATTAATCTTTTGGAATAGGCCATACCTCTACTGCATTTTAATTTTATTTGGAGGAGACTCCTAAAGTATGTGCCACTTGCAAGAGAATTGTTGTTTTTGAGAGAATGTGCCTTCAGTATTGTATACTAGATGTCCTAAATCTTAAAGCATTGTTTTTATTTCCCAGGTGCTGCATATTAGTTCAGAAACGGTCTTCTTCCAAGGTAAGTAATATGCATTACATCTTTCGTGCACCCAAATAAGACCTGATAAATTACATTTATTATAAAGAAAAACAGTACTATAAAAGCACACACTGTTTAGTGCGGATTCATTACACTGAAGTGCTGTTTGTCTCTGAAACAGGTAAGAAAGTGTCCAGCTCAGTGGAGCCTTATAAAGCCAATTGATGCATTATCTTTCTAACCTTCCGTTTCTATCTGGGTGTACTCCTGATATGACAACAACTCAAGTGTTCACTTGTGTGATTGTGTAATTACTATGAAGTGTAGTTACAGGATAAGAACAGATGTCCCATCTTCCAAATTCTGTTATGTGACTTTGAAACTACTGATGATTTTGGCATCCAACGCCTCGCTTGCTTCAACAGTTTACAACTCGGTTCACAAAAAAGAGAACTTTCTTGTATTTTTCTGTACTGTTCCTTTCATAGATTTAAGAATCTATGATGTCTTATTCTTGAAGTTAAAGGTTTTAAAATTAATCCTTATCTATTTTGTTGATTTGTTAGTAGTGTACCTTTTATATAGTGGTCATATCTACTCTTTTTGCCCCTATCTTCTAGCTTTGGCTTGTTTACTACCTCCAGCCTCTGCTTGTGACTAATGTTCTTAAGAGTTCCAGGTTCCTTTTAGTAGCATGTCTTTGCACCCTTTCTTGTTTTTGCTTCTTGAGAGATGAGCACCACACCACTGCTGCATATTTAAATTTTGCTCTCGTTAGTCGTGTAAAGTTTCTTTAATATTTCCTAGGGCATATCTTTAAACACTGTTCAGAAATTTGCTAATGTAGCATAGGCTCCTTTCATAATGCCCTTTACGTGGTCCTATGTTGACAGCTTACTATCCAGAATCGCCCCTAGATCTTTCCGTGTCAGAAGTTTCTATTATATTTTCACCTAATTTTTTACGCTAAGTGTGGCCTGTTCTTGCGTATTAAGCGTAACCTTATGTTAGATTTGTTGAAGTTAAATTTCCTCTGCCAAGTGTTGTTCTACTCATTTTGTCTAGGTCATTTTGGAGGGCAATACAGTCATCAAAGTCCATCACTCATCCTAGCAATTTAATATCTCCAAACATATTGTAACTCTTTATTCTCTCTGGTAGATTATTATAAAGAAGTGATCTACCAGAGGGAATGGAGAGTTACGTGAATAGGCTTGCAGATGATGCTAAATTGCTAGGATGAGTCAGGTACTGTACTTAGATGCCCTCCAAAATGACCCAGTCAAAATTAGTGGTGAAATACTTGTCAAAAGAAATTTGACTTGAACAAATGTAACATAAAGGAATGCAGAATAGGGAAGAACATGCCACACTTATACAAATTATCACAATGAAATTACAGTGACTTGATATATCAATGAAAATAATTTTGAGGCAATGGCGTGACGTGAACTTGCATTCAGGTGATTCCCAGATGCCTGGCTTAACCAACTCGGCCATGGTGGTGCGAAAGTCGACTAACTCGGAACGCTACCGAGTTCTCTGGGAGGTTCCGGAGGCCCTGAACCAGAGTCCAACCAGGGTTTTACAGTCGACCCAACCACACTCTGGTCTACGGTAATGGCGTTCACACTCTTACGCCCCCACTCAGATCAAGTCACTCCATTGCCTCAAAATGATTTTCATTGATATATCACACCATTGTGATTTCATTGCAATATGAGTGAATTGTAAGAGTGTGAACACTATTGCCATAGACCAGAGTGTTGTCGGGTTGACTGTAAAACTCTGGTTGGGCTCCGGTTCGGGGTCTCCAGAACATTCTAGTAGAACTCGGTAGAGTTCTGGGTTGGTTTACTTTTGTACCACTGTGGCTAAGTTGGTTAAGGCAGGTGACTACGAATCGCCAGAATGCGAGTTCGTCACTCCATTGCCTCAAAATTATTTTCATACAAATTGTGTGTTTGTGCATGTACATGTTAAGAGGGTGGGGTGTGGATGTGTGTTCTTGCACGAGCTCGCATAATTGTACTCGCCTTGGTTGAGTTCTGGCTCTTTGTTCCCACCTCTCTACTCTCAATCAACTGATGTATTAGTTCCAGAGCCACTCGGTTCTTGTCATACCTGCATTTGAATCTGTGTACAGTATATATAGTCTGCCTCCACCACCTAACTTCTTAGTGCATTCCATTTCTTCACTACACTGACACTGAGAAACTTTATAATGTACAGTATCTGTGGTTTATTGGGTACTCGGTTGCCACCTGTTACTTGTTAGAGTACTGTACAACCCATGCTAAATACTGTAGTCTCTGTTAACTTTTCTGAATTCCAGTGGTGAGGTTTAATTTCTGTAGCATTTCCTCATAACTTGTACCTCTTGACATTGGGACTATTGTAATTGCATACCTCTGAACATTCTCAAGCTTCATGTTTTGTGTAACTTGATATGGACTGAATGATAAAGCCCCATATACAAGGAGTGGGCATGATGTGGGAAATAAAAAGTTCTGGATGATTCTTTACAAAAATTTCTAATGGCTGTTCTTATGTTGGCCAACCAACCATACACAACTGATATCCATTTGATTTAGGCTTCAGGAGACGGTTGGTGCAATATCAATCCACAGATCTTTCTTTTTGCTTGATTTTTTTTAAGGATTTATCTCCCATTTGATACTTGTCCACCTTCCTGTGTCATATACCTAGTTTTATTACTTGGCAATTGCTTAAGCTAAAGTCCAGTAACATATTATTGGATCATATTATAATATTATAATTATTATAATATACTTAATTATATTATAATAATAATGAATATTTCTATGACTCATTTGGGCACATTGTTTCCACCTGAGTCCCCTTATACATGTACCACCTTTGTTTACATAAACTGTCTTTACTTTGTCTCTCGCTCTCTCTCTCGCTCTCTTGCTCTCGCGCTCTCTCTCGCGCTCTCTCTCGCGCTCTCTCTCGCGCTCTCTCTCGCGCTCTCTCTCGCGCTCTCGCTCGCTCTCGCTCGCTCTCACTCTCTCTCGCTCTCTCTCTCGCTCTCTCTCTCGCTCTCTCTCTCGCTCTCTCTCTCGCTCTCTCTCTTGCTCGCTTTCTCTCTCTCTTGCTCTCTCGCTCTCTTGCTCTCTCTCTCTTGCTCTCTCTCTCTCTCTTGCTCTCTCTCTCTCTCTCTCTCTTGCTCTCTCTCTCTCTCTCTCTCTCTCTCTTTCTCTCTCTCTTCTCTCTCTCTCTCTCTCTCTCTCTCTTGCTCTCTTGCTCTCTCTCTTTATCTCTTGCTCTCTTGCTCTCTCTCTCTTGCTCTCTTTCTCTCTTTCTCTCTCTCTTTATCCCCCTCTCGCTCGCCTCTCTCTCTCCCCCCTCTCACTCTCTCCCCCCATCTCTCCCCCCCTCTCACTCTTGCTCTCTTATTCGTTGAAACCCATTTATTTCACGAGCCTAATGTATGCATCAGTGGGAATAAACTGTATTCATCAACATTAGGTAACAATCATATAAGGAACAGGACGAGTCCATAGCCCATGTGTCCTCTGGCACATAGCCCATGTGTCCTCTGGCACATAGCCCATGTGCCAGAGCCGTCTGTGATCAGTTGATCTGATATCCTGTGTATCAACCTGTTGTTGAAAACAAGTTCCAGTTGAGCGAAACAAGTTCCAGATGGAAGCCAGCCTAGGAAGGAATTCTCTCGTGAGCTCTCTCATCCGTTCCCCCTCCGCACATTTACACGCTCGCTACCATCAAGTATCGTAACGTGTCAGTTATATTAGATATGTTAAACTATACCAGTTTCTTCATGCAGTTCAATTTGTTTTACAAATCTGCACTTGTTGGGAAGGGAACTATCGGGAGAAAGCGCCAACTATATAACAACTATATAACCCTTGGAAAGGATAAGGATTTGGGATGTGACAGTAGGAAAGAATGGTAGTCAACCACTTGGACGGTCGGGGATTGAGCGCCGACCTGCATGAAGCGAGACCGTCGCTCTACCGTCCAGCCCAAGTGGTTTGGCGTAATTGTTGGAAGATCATGGTCCAAATGCGAGTTTAGTCAAGGAATGAAGGATCACTGCTGATGTTCTTCAGAATGACACAGCCAGCACTTGTATGTTTTTGACCGAGCCCCTTGCGGTGGTGTCATCTTCAAGTTGCTCACGAAGATGTGCCAGCTGGGGAGACCTTGGCCTTGTACATAACAGCAAGATTCAGCGTTTTGTCTCACCATTTGGTCACCACTTGGTCCGGGAGACATCTCCCGTCACGCAGGGTGCAGTCGCGCCTCCACAGATCTCCAGTATCAGCTCTTGATACTGGTAATGGCTCAAAAGGGCCACCACTTACGAGCAATTCATGCCCGTGCCACCTTTTAGGTGGCTTCATCTTCATCAATCAATTCAATCTGTTTAAATCACGGAAGACATCTTCCGTCACGCAGGGTGCAGTCGCACCTCCACAGATCTCCAGTATCATCTATTGATACTGGTGATGGCTCAAAAGGGCCACCACTTACGAGCTATTCATGCCCGTGCCACCTTTTGGGTGGCTTCATCTTTTCATCATCATCATCGTTTTGTCTAGTTTTGACGGCTGTGAGGTACTGACCATCTTGTTGTTGCAGGCGAGGAGTCGCAATAACGTGGCTAAAGTAAGTTGACCAAACCACACACTAGAATGTGAAGGGACGACGACGTTTCGGTCCGTCCTGGACCATTCTCAAGTCGATTGTGAAGAGGAAGTTCCTCCTCACCTCTCTCTAGCCTATTTATTACCTGCATCTACTTCCTCTTCACCACGAGGCTAACCATAACCCGTGCTTCTTGCCCCCGCTCCTGTGCCAGGTAAGTTACGGGCTCACCATAGCCCGTGCTACTTGGAACGTGTTCCGAGGAGCTGAATCTATAACAACACAACATTCCTCTTCACACACGAGAGACATCTCCTGTCACGCAGGGTGCAGTCGCACCTCCACAGATCTCCAGTATCATCTATTGATACTGGTAATGGCTCAAAAGAACCACCACTTACGGG